TACATTGATACATATGAGAGGCGGTAAAATACACTGATACGTATGAGGGGCGGTACAATGCACTGACACGTATGAGGGGCGGTAATATACATTGAAACGAATAAGGGCGGTAAAATGCACTGATACATATGAGAAACGGTAAAATACACTGATACGTATGAGGGGCGGTACAATGCACTGACACGTATGAGGGGCGTTAATATACATTGATACGTTTGAGGGGTGGTAAAATGCACTGATACGTATGAGGGGTGGTAAAATACATTGATACGTATGAGGGGTGGTAAAATGCATTGATACGTTTGAGGGGTGGTAAAATGCACTGACACGTATGAGGGGTGGTAAAATACATTGGTACGAATGAGGGGCGGTAAAATACACTGATACGTATGAGGGGCGGTAAAATGCACTGATACGTATGAGGGTTGGTAAATACATTGATGCGTATGAGGGGTAGTAAAATAAATTGATACGTTTGAGGGGTGGTAAAATGCACTGATACGTATGAAGGATGGTTAAATACATAGATACGTATGAGGGGCGGTAAAATGCACTGATACGTATGAGGGGCGGTAAAATACATTGATACGTATGGGCGATATTAAAATACATTGATACGTATGAGAGATGGTAAAATACATTAATACGTATGGGAGATGGTAAAATACATTGATACATATGAGAGGCGGTAAAATACACTGATACGTATGAGGGGCGGTAAAAAACACTGATACGTATGAGGGGCGGTAAAAAACACTGATACGTATGAGGGGCGGTAAAATGCATTGATACGTATGAGGGGCGGCACAATGCACTGACACGTATGAGGGGTGGTAATATACATTGAAACGAATGAGGGCGGTAATATGCACTGATACGTATGAGGGTTGGTAAATACATTGATACGTATGAGGGGTGGTAAAATACATTGATACATATGAGAGGCGGTAAAATACACTGATACGTATGAGGGGCGGTAAAAAAACACTGATACGTATGAGGGTTGGTTAATACATTGATGCGTTTGAGGGGTGGTAAAATTCACTGATACGTATGAGGGCGGTAAAATACATTGATACGTATGAGAGATATTAAAAAACATTGATACGTATGAGAGATGGTAAAATACATTAATACGTATGGGAGATGGTAAAATACATTGGTAAGCATGAGAGGCGGTAAAATACATTGATACGAATGAGGGATGGTTAAATACATTGATACATATGAGAGGCGGTAAAATACACTGATACGTATGAGGGGCGGTACAATGCACTGACACGTATAAGGGGCGGTAATATACATTGAAACGAATGAGGGCGGTAAAATGCACTGATACGTATGAGGGTTGGTAAATACATTGATACGTATGAGGGGTGGTAAAATGCACTAATACGTTTGAGGGGTGGTAAAATGCACTGACACGTATGAGGGGTGGTAAAATACATTGGTACGAATGAGGGGTAGTAAAATGCATTGTTACGAATGGGGGCAGTAAAATGCACTGATACGTATGAGGGGTGGTAAAATACATTGATACGTATGAGAGATAGTAAAATACATTGATACGTATGAGAGATGGTAAAATACATTGATTTGGTTGGTTGGTTTGTTGTTTAACGCCGCACTCAGCAATATTCCAGCTATATGACGGCGGCCTGTAAATAATCGAGTCTGGACCAGACAATCCAGTGATTAATATCATGAGCATCGATCCACGCAATTTGGATCGATGACATACATCAACCAAGCCAGCGAGCCTGACCACCCGATCCCGTTAGTCGCCTTTTACGAAAAGCATAGTCGCCTTTTACGGCAAGCATGGGTTGCTAAAGATCTATTCTACTCCGGATCTTCATGGGTCAAAATACATTGATACGTATGGGAGGCGGTAAAATGCACTGATACGTATGAGGGGCGGTAAAATACGTTGATACGTATAAGGGACGGTAATATACATTGATGCGTATGAGGAGCGGTAATATACATTGATACGAATGAGGGGCGGTAATATACATTGATACGTATGAGGGGCGGTAATATACATTGATACGTATGAGGAGCGGTAATATACATTGATACGTATGAGGGTCGGTAAAATACATTGATACGTATGAACGGCGGTAATATACTTTGATGCGTATGAGGAGCGGTAATATACATTGATACGTATATGAGGGGCGGTAAAATACATTGATGCGTATGAGGAGCGGTAATATACACTGATACGTATATGAGGGGCGGTAAAATACATTGATGCGTATGAGCGGCGGTAATAGACATTGATGCGTATGAGGAGCGGGAATATACATAGATGCGTATGAGGGGCGGTAATAAAAATTGATACGTATGAGCGGCGGCATATACATTGATGCGTTTGAGGGGCAGTAATATACATTGATACGTATGAGGGACGGTATTATACATTGATACGTATGAGGGGCGGAGATATATACATTGATACGTATGAGCGGCGGTAAAATACATTGATACGTATGAGGAGCGGTAATATACACTGATGCGTATGAGCGGCGGTAAAATACATTGAAACGTATAAGGGGCGGTAAATTACATTGATACGTATGAGCGGCGGTAATATACATTGATACGTATGAGGGGCGGTAAAATACATTGATACGTATGAGGAGCGGTAATATACTCTGATGCGTATGAGCGGCAGTAAAATACATTGAAACGTATGAGGGGCGGTAAATTACATTGATACGTATGAGCGGCGGTAATATACATTGATACGTATGAGCGGCGGTAATATACATTGATACGTATGAGGGGCGGTAATATACATTGATACGTATGAGGGGCGGTAATATACATTGATACGTATGAGGGGCGGTAATATACATTGATACGTATGAGCGGCGGTAGTATACATTGATGCGTATGAGGAGCGGTAATATACACTGATACGTATGAGGAGCGGGAATATATGTTGATACGTATGAGGGGCGGCAATATACATTGATACGTATGAGGGGCGGTAATATACATTGATACGTATGAGCGGCGGTAGTATACATTGATGCGTATGAGGAGCGGTAATATACATTGATACGTATGAGCGGCGGTAGTATACATTGATGCGTATGAGGAGCGGAATATACACTGATACGTATGAGGAGCGGGAAAATATATTGATACGTATGAGGGGCGGGAAAATACATTGATACGTATGAGGGGCGGTAATATACATTGATACGTATGAGGGGCGGTAATATACATTGATACGTATGAGGGGCGGTAATATACATTGATACGCATGAGCGGTTGAAATATACATTGATGCGTATAAGAGGGGGGGTGGGGGTGGTAATATACATTGATACGTATGAAGGGCGGTAAGATAAATTTATACGTATGAAGGGCGGTAAAATACATTGATACGTATGAGGGGCGGTAAGATAAATTTATACGTATGAAGGGCGGTAAAATACACTGATACGTATGAAGGGCGGTAAAATACATTGATACGTACGAGGGGCGGTAAGATACATTGATATGTATGGGGGCGGTAATATACATTGATACGTATGAGCGGCGGAACTATACATTGATGCGTATGAGGAGCGGGAATATACATTGATGCGTATGAGGGGCGGTAATAAAAATTGATACGTATGAGCGGCGGTAATATACATTGATGCGTATGGGGGGCAGTAATATACATTGATACGTATGAGGGGCGGTAATATACATTGATATGTATGAGCGGCGGTAATATACATTGATACGTATGAGGGGCGCTAGAATATATTGATACGTATGAGGGGCGGTAAAATATATTGATACGTATGAGGGGCGTTAATATACATTGATATGTATGAGCGGCGGTAATATACATTGATATGTATGAGCGGCGGTAATATACATTGATACGTATGAGGGGCGGTAGAATATATTGATACGTATGAGGGGCGGTAAAATATATTGATACGTATGAGGGGCGGTAAAATACATTGATACGTTTGAGGGGCGGTAAAATATATTGATAGGTATGAGGGGCGGTAAAATACATTGATACGTATGAAGGGCGGTAAAATACATTGATACGAATGAGATGTGGAATGTACATTGACACGTTACTCTTGAGGGGTAGTTGCATGCAATTAAATTGAAAGCATTTAAAAATAGTTTTGTGTGCTTTTAGAATGTGGAAGAACATGAAGACATGAGACGTGAATACCCTGAGTAAGCGTTTGTGTGTTAATATATATGCTGATATGTTTACACAATATAATGGGGGAAATTAGGGGATTAATGGGAGTGAGTCAAATTAAGCCGTTTTGGCAACAGTGCTATGGGGCAAGGAGTGATGACAAAAAGCTGACCGGGAAAATAGTATGTCCATTTGGCGTAAGGATTGTCGATGGCACCGACGAGTTTAATTGGGTGGTTAGTTGTCCTGGTAACTGTTTATGTCTGTTTTGTTTCTTTGGATTTCTGTGGTTTCTTGAAGATTCCTATTTTTCCAGTAATTGATATGGCTATGGAGATATTTTTTAATTCTTGCCAGGAAATATCGTAGTCAGAATTATTGATAACATATTCCGCGTGGGCAGATTTCATATAGGAATTGGCAACGGAGGTATTGTGTTCATTTTCATCTGGTGGTTATGAGGCGTAAAATATCTCCAATATAATTCTCCCCACTCTTACATGTGATCCCAAGCACTCAAACAATTAAGAAATTGTTAGCCAGAAAAAGTTCCATGTCTGTGGGATAATATTAATAAAAAAAAAGAACATGTAATTGTTATTATTGCAAATGAAGGATAGAATGAGATTTTTACGTCCCGTCGCGTTTTTATTTTCTCTTCACAACAAAATGCGGGAAAAGCAGCTCTAAAATATCTGCAGATATTGTAGGCTGGGTCCCGTCTCTTCAAATCACCATAACGGTATGTAAGTTGGTGATGCGCAGAAAGAGCCGGGAACCAGCTCATGAGGAAAACGGAAGTTACAAGAGTTACGCATCTTCGGGACATGCGCATAACCGTGCATACTTTCGGGTAGGTAAAGTTTGACAGTAGACTGTCAAAATAAATGACAGCAAGAAATTCTAACAGGTCAAGCGGATAAGACACGACAAGTACACAACACAACCTAGTCATGGCTCATCTTCAGCTCAAAGAGGGAGAGTATACATCAACTATTTATGGATTGGTAAGTGTCTGTAACCAAGGTAAACAGTTCATGTAAACTTTCATCCGAATTGTATGAGTGTTAAGAAGATGTATGAAGGTGACAAGTGACGGTACGCAGCATTTTTGCGATTTGTAGTTGATATGTAGATAGTTGCTTTCACCGTTAGAAGGCCTTACATATATATCTTGTTATTAGATTGAACAGATTGTAGAAATGCATCCACAGATACTTCTTAAAAGTAAAATAACGGTAAGATTTATTTCATGCTGATAACCACAGATGTTCGATTCTTTCAAAACATTACTTGACATGTGGAAAGTGTAAATCGACTCTACTCTTGCTTAATATTTAAATCCACTTTCAAACATTTCATGATTTTGGTTTTCATGCATGCCTTGCCAACCACTGGGCAACCAGTATTGATAACAAGAAGCTTTTGTTGTTTCACTGCCGACACAAACCAGAATACTTGAATCTGTTCTGCCTATCTTTATCTTTATGTCAAAGTGTAGCCTGGGGAGCAGAGCCAATAATAGTTATAAACACAGAAAAGTGACAGTTGGTAGTTACCAGATACAACAACCTTTTATGTAAGAATGTACATCCTCATTGGCGTAATAGGGATGGGTAGTGGAGGTTTAAAGTGTATCACAATATTTTGTTATGCACAAGGCCGTATTGCGATACATATCACGATACACTGTATAATTCTTAATTGTGAATTCAGAAGCAATCTGTTACATTAAAGTATGAATTGAAGTCCATAAATGGAACAAGATGCTGGTACAACATAATGTTGACTCATTCAAGTATGTAACATTAAACACATGATGGAAACTGCTATTTGATATCACCCGATATATCGAGCATGAAAATATGATATTGTGATAAGCATGATAAGTATCCTGGAAGAAATGAACCTCAATAAGCCGAAATACCGGTAATACCGCACACCCTTACAGCTTGTGGATCATCATTGTGATAGAGCCTCACCCTGGAAGGCTCACTTTGGCGCTCAGTGTTAGGGGATAAAACAAGGACTGGTCTGCTTAGAGTCTACATACTGTTTCTGAGTGGGGTATGCATCTGAAACTGCAAAATGATATCTCAGTGGGCTAGCACTATAAGACAAGCATAAGTCCAAACTGGTACCAGCAGCCACTCATAAACAAGTGCATGAACATTGATACATGAGTGTAGTAATCTTAAACACAACGTTGAGCCCGATTTTCCCTCGACTCACCAGTCGCATCCCCCAGCTGAGCAGAATCATATAGTTTCTATTTTTGAATATCAAATTCACCTTGATTATGTTAACTGGTTTGTCTGCACCATTCCCATGCTTGTGGGTTTGAACTTTCACCTAAAGTGGTAAGCACCTAGTACCAATGATCTAGACCTGCATCACTTTGGGCTTCACTACCACATTAAGCTGAAATGCAGCGATATTAATTATAAGTGTGTACTGTTGAAAACAGTGTCTCAAAGATGTATGTCAAGGTAATGAATGGAACACTAACTGCATTCAGTAGGAAGTTTCCATGTTCTTTTTTGTGTGTTTTAACATGGTCAGTGACATACATGCTGTACTGTAATTGCTGTCAGCCTATATTTAGCATAGTGTAACATAGTTTATCACCAAACATGTATTGCAGATCAAAGACCAGCGCTATAATGAAGCTGTTCAGTTGCTCAACAACCAGCTGCAGAGTCATCCGAAGGTACGAATGTCTCGATAGTGCAGTATAAGCTGTCAAACAAAACTGTGTTATGTTTGGGGATATTCTCTCATCAAGTTAATCCCTCCAACAATCCCTAGAGCATATATTTTATTTATCAGTAAAAGCTATCTAATATGGATCAAGAATGCATCCCAATTCTCTGTACACTAAATAATTCTAAGTGTTTTGTTGCCAGTCTCGGTCAGCGCTGTCATTGCTGGCCTACTGCTACTACCAGATGCAGGACTTTGTGAACGCAGCTGACAGCTATGAGCAGCTGACCCTGATGCAGCCGGATGTGGAGGAGTATCGCCTGTATTATGCCCAGGCCCTTCATAAAGCCTGTCTCTACCAGGAGGCCATGAAGGTGGCCTGTCAGATCGACAACCCGGCCTACCAGGGACAGGTACACTCTAACTCTCAGTGGGTGGGGGAGAAGTTAAAGGGTAAGGGGGTATTGGTTGGTCAGATTGATAACCCACCTTGTCTACCAGGGACAGGTTCACTCTCAGTGACCAGGGATGGTGGGTTGTCACAATGTGTGGCAGTTAAAGGGAGACAATTGCCTTTTGTCAGAGTATCGGCCCAGTCTATCATGCAAAATGCAAAGGAACACTGTGAAAATGTTGTTTTGTTAATTCATACCTATTGGTGACTGAAATTAGTGAAATTAAATCATTCAGATACTGACCACTTAAACTTAATACACAAATATGGTACTGACTATTGTGTCTCTCCTGCTAAGATAGTGTGGGGCCCAGTCATCTAAATCATCTATCTGTGATACGGAGTTGCGTCCCTTCAGCAAGCCGGGAACCTGTGATGTGGTTTACATCCAGATTCCCCCTGATTAGGTTTCTAGGTTTGTCTGCACCATACCCTCTCATGGGTTTCATCAAAGTGGTAAACATCTGAGACCTGCATCAATTCAGCTTTCCTCTCACATCAAGCTGACATGCAATGATATGACTGAAATACTGTTCAAACCAAACTCACACACACTGCTAACATAGAAGATACGGTTAAGCTTAGCTTGTGTCCTCTATGATAGCCTTTGCTTAAAAATGTGGACATTTATCATTCATTAAGCTTTCTACAAGTTGAAATGGGTATGCTGAAGTCTCATGCTGTGAATGGTGACTGTTATTTTTACAGATCACCAAGCTGCAGGCTGCCATCAAGTACGGAGAGGAGGATCTGCCTGGAGCCAAGGTAACCTCTTCATGTAATGAGACCTATGTCTCAACAAACCCTTAATTTCATACACTGATCTGGGTAGGGAGTGCTCGGGGGTGCACCCCACTTTTTTTAGTCCACACTGGATATAATTGGTAACCAATGTGTAAACATAGGACAACTCTATAGCTTAATTATTGGGTGATGTGTTTTCAACGACAATTTCACATTTGTATTCTTCTGGCTTGTGTGTAAAGTGAACCGCTCCTTTTAAGAAATGCTCTATCTGTGCCTGTTGTTTCTTTGAATCATCATTACCTTCTTTTAACAAAAAGAAGTTTGGGGTGTTGGTGACTGAGGTGGAGATGTCTTCGTGGTTGTTTTAGAGCCTGGTGGAGCAGTGTCCAGCTGACGACCCTGACACAGAGGTCAACTTTGGCTGTCTGCTGTTCAAGGTGAGTGTCTCATCCCTTGACTCATTCAGTTCATTGTCGACCAGAGTTTTAATTGTACCAGTAAATAATATGTGAAGTGTATGAGCCTCTATGCATGTTCTGTGGTAAGACAAAATCAAGACATTTTTGCTACTTTTTTAAAAACAGTAAACACCATAAAAAAATGGAAAGTGGACAACTAGTTACGAGCTAATGAGCATTTACAAAGTACAATGAAAGTCTGTTTGCTCAAGAACTGGGGAATTTCACACAACTGGATGTTGACTTATCCAGAGTTCAAGACCAGGGCCCACTTGCAAAAAACGATCTTAGAGCTAAGACTATCGTAAGCCTATGTTAATGTATGGGAGTTAAGATCTTCTTAGCGCTAAGATCGCTTAGGGTGAGTGGGCCCAGGAATTGTCTCTATGAGTCTGTATAACAAAGGTGTTAAAAACATTCTGCTTGAACCATAAAATGACATTGGCTTAAAACAATTTACATGACTTGTGAGTTAATAAGGTTTAACTGTAGTTCTTTGTTCTGAGACAGATCCTGGCCAATTGTATACATTTCAGTCTTCACATGATGATGTTTCAGGAAGGGAGGTTTGAGGAGGCCTGTCAGAAGTTCTCGACTGCGATGCAGATTGTAGGCTACAAGCCAGACCTGTCCTACAACATAGCACTGTGCCACTACATGATGAAGCAGTACGCCCCTGCTCTCAAACACATCGCAGACATCATAGAGAGAGGCATCAGGGAGCACCCAGGTACGGAACTACTTCAAGTCTTGTATGACAGCATGTTACAGAGTGTCCCGCCTCATTATGTTGCGGGTACTGGTGGCTCAGATGACTTCTCATTGTTTGGTTATTTTTTCAGAACTTAGCGTCGGCATGACAACTGAGGGTATTGATGTACGCAGCGTCGGCAACACGCTTACCCTTCATGAGACTGCACTGATCGAGGCCTTCAACCTCAAGGCAGCCATTGAATACCAACTGAAGAACTGTGAGTTAGGTTACCTGTACACATCATGCATACATGCAAGCAACGATACAGCTTTTTGGAAAAGGGGCGTTTTGTGATTTGGCAAATTACGTTCAGTGATCGCGTAATTTTGTTAAAAAATTATCACCAAATGAGTTAGTCATAGTGTGGGTATGTGTTTACTTTCCGTATTCCCGTTCGCCTATAACATTCCTAAATACATAATGCTTGGTATGCTTAGAATAGAAGAATTGACTGTTTGGAAGAATACATTGAAGACAGAAATCAGAAATCTCGTGATATGTTGTGTTGTCATGTTATGCTTTTCTCCAGCACTGAAAGTTGCTGTTGTAGTTGAGGCAGCCTGTGAGGCCTTGACGGATATGCCTCCACGGTCGGAGGAGGAGTTGGACGCAGTGACGCTGCACAACCAGGGGCTGATGAACATGGAGCAGAACGCCACGCAGGGATTCCAGAAGATGCAGTTCCTGCTGCAGCAAAACCCCTTCCCCCCTGAGACCTTCGGCAACCTCCTCCTCCTCTACATCAAGTATGAGGTCAGTACCTAAGTAGGGGTTCAGTACTTTGAATATGAGGTCGGGACCTCAAGTGGGTGGTCAGTACCTCAAGTTGGAGGTCAGTACCTCAGTTAGAAGGTCAGTACTTCAAGTTAGACAGTACATCAGGTGGGAGGTCAGTACCTCAAGTGGGAGGCCAGTACCTCAAGTGGGAGGCCAGTACCTCAAGTGGGAGGTCAGTACCTCAGGTAGGAGGTCAGTACTTCAAGTTAGTCAGTACCTCAGGTGGGAGGTCAGTACCTCAAGTGGGAGCTCAGTACCTCAATTGGGAGCTCAGTACCTCAGGTAGGAGGTCAGTACCTCAATTGGGAGGTCAGTACCTCAGGTGGGAGGTCAGCACTTCAAGTTAGTCAGTACCTCAGGTGGGAGGTCAGTACCACAAGTGGGAGGCCAGTACCTCAAGTGGGAGGCCAGTACCTCAATTGGGAGGTCAGTACCTCAGGTGGGAGGTCAGTACTTCAAGTTAGTCAGTACCTCAGGTGGGAGGTCAGTACCTCAAGTGGGAGGCCAGTACCTCAAGTGGGAGGTCAGTACCTCAAGTTAGTCAGTACCTCAGGTGGGAGGTCAGTACCTCAGGTGGGAGGTCAGTACCTCAAGTTAGTCAGTACCTCAGGTGGGAGGCCAGTACCTCAATTGGGAGGTCAGTACCTCAATTGGGAGGTCAGTACCTCAAGTGGGAGGTCAGTACCTCAATTGGGAGGTCAGTACCTCAGGTAGGAGGTCAGTACTTCAAGTTAGTCAGTACCTCAGGTGGGAGGTCAGTACCTCAAGTGGGAGGTCAGTACCTCAAGTGGGAGGCCAGTACCTCAAGTGGGAGGTCAGTACTTCAAGTTATTAAGTACGTCAGGTGGGTGGTCAGTACCTCAAGTGGGAGGCCAGTACCTCAATTGCGAGGTCAGTACCTCAAGTAGGAGGTCAGTACCTCAGTTAGGAGGTCAGTACTTCAAGTTAGACAGTACATCAGGTGGGAGGTCAGTACCTCAAGTGGGAGGCCAGTACCTCAAGTAGGAGGTCAGTACCTCAAGTGGGAGGTCAGTACTTCAAGTTATTAAGTACGTCAGGTGGGTGGTCAGTACCTCAAGTGGGAGGTCAGTACCTCAGGTGGGAGGTCAGTACCTCAAGTAGGAGGTCAGTACCTCAAGTTGGAGGTCAGTACCTCAGTTAGGAGGTCAGTACTTCAAGTTAGACAGTACATCAGGTGGGAGGTCAGTACCTCAAGTGGGAGGCCAGTACCTCAGGTGGGAGGTCAGTACCTCAGGTGAGAGGTCAGTACCTCAAGTGAGAGGTCAGTTCCTCAAGTGGGAGGTCAGTACCTCAAGTGGGAGGCCAGTACCTCAGGTGGGAGGTCAGTACCTCAAGTGGGAGGCCAGCACCGCAAGTGGGAGGCCAGTACTTCAAGTTAGTCAGTACCTCAGGTGGGAGGTCAGTACTTCAAATGGGAATTTATTTCCTCAAGTGGGAGGCTAGTACCTCAAGTGGGAGGTCAGTTATTTGAAAATGAGGTCGGTACTTCAAGAACAAGTTTGAGGTCAGAACTTCAAGTACAAAGTCATAATAAGTTAGAGGCCAGTACATCATGTTCTAGCTCCGGGTGCCATTGAACAAAGCGATCTTAGCACTAAGATTATCGTAACACCCATACCTTAACATAGACTTAGGACAGTCGTAGAGCTAAGGTTGTTTTGACAACGGCACCGAGTACTTCAAGAACAAGTAGGAGGTCAAGGGTATTAGAAACATTACTTGTTTGTTGCATTACACAACTCTTTTCATACAGCAAATGATAATCCTTGATATTACATTAAGTAATACGTTACCACTGTTATACCGAGGCTGTTGTCTCCCACAACTGCTGCTATAGCGAAATCTACCACAGAGATCTCAATTACCTCATGCAGCACGTGCGTAGCCACCTAGCTGCCATGTGACACCCTTCACTCTTGTCTCTTCGCTTGCTCTAGCAAGACGTACAATAAACTGCTCAAGCGTTCCTGTTTCTCCGACCATACGGTGATATTTATTACTGTTTATTCTCTCTAATAAACTGTGCTTTTACGGGGTGTTTGCTCTAACTACGCTTGGAATTATTTTTCCCGCCAAGAGGAAATATTTTTCCCGCCCTTTTTTTCTACATACTTGCGGGGTGTCTCGTATGCACGTTGCGTCTTACGTTCCCCTGTTCTAGTATATCTTGGGTTTTTTACATCACTTATTCCTCTATATGTTATATGTGTATGTTCTATATTCGCATTGCTCGTTTATTTTCTGGTGAAAATACTCGTTTGTGACTATTTGTGGTGCGTGTGTTGTAACCATGTTTTGGGTTTTTTACATCACTTATTCCTCTATATGTTATATGTGTATGTTCTATATTCGCATTGCTCGTTTATTTTCTGGTGAAAATACTCGTTTGTGACTATTTGTGGTGCGTGTGTTGTAACCATGTTTTGCTCTAGGTTCATAGTACAAACAAAATGTCTGACATGGATGTTTCGCCGTCCTCTACCCCCTCTAACCCCGCAACCAGGAGCTGCGGGGTGTTCCGCAAGCGAGCGCTACCGGCTGTATGTGCTGTAAGTCACGGAGACACTTACTTGGCTGCAGCGGCCAGTCTGGTCGAAGGTTCTCCCACGGACCGTGACCAGCGCATTTACAACTGCCTGCTCAGTTTAAATGCTTCCCTGGAGTACGTTGCCGAGGACTCTTGGCACACACTTGCTCTTGTTGGGTCCCTGCATAGGCGCCTGGGTGCCGCTCCTAACCGGAGCGCGCCCCAGGCTGCTGCCGCCGGTAGGTCTGAGGGGTCGGGTTCTTCTTCCTCTCGGAAGAAGCCCTGCCCTGAGGCCTCCGGTATGGGCAATCAGCTGCCCTTTCACGGGAAGACGGGGAACTGGGGGAGCCCAAGTCGTCTAAGGACGGCAAGGGCCCCTCCAGGTGACTCTCATTGGAGGGGTTCGTATGCCGACAGCGCCAACTTCGGTTGGCCCTTAGGCGAACCTGAGTCACTTGGCCCTGGACAATTGCGCCTGCCGCAGCCTGTCCGGCCCCCTCTCCTTCCCCAGTGGGAGCCAGACTCCAGACTTACTGGGAGAATTTGGAACAAGTGTTCGACGACCCGTGGGTGGTCAACACGATTCGGTACGGCTATCGGCTTGATCTCAAAGCGAATCCGCCGCTCACCGTTGCCCCGTTGGCAGGTTTCGATTCGGAAACCGATCTTCCCATCCTCGCCGATGCCATTGGCAGGTTGGTGGAGAAGGGGCAGTACGGGAGTTAGCTCTACCAGAAATAAAACCGGGGTTTTGCTCCAGGATATTTCTTGTTCCCAAGTAGGACAGTGCCGAACTCAAAATGATTCATACGTCCGCTCCCTGGCTGTTCACCCGGTTCACCACCCCCATAGTGGGGTTCCTCCACAGGAGGGGTGTCAGGTACTTCATGTACCTGGACGACTTGCTAGTTGCAAATTGAATGACGGACGTGCTGTCTCGTCAGCTTGATTTTGCACTTTGGCTCTTGGAGCAATTGGGGTGGATTGTCAATCTCCCCAAGAGCGAGTTAACCCCCTCACAGAACTTGAAGTTCTTCGGAGGTCGGTTCGACACGGTGACCCATCGCCTCTTTGTCCCCCCAGACCGGTGGCAAAAGATTCAGGCGATGATTGCCAAAGTCTTAGCGGTGCCACAGACTGTTCACTTTTGGGAACAGCTGTAAGGGCTACTTGTGTCCGCCCTGGACTGCACCGATCGGGGTCGTCTCCAACTCCGCCCGCTGCAACGGTTTCCAATCCAGTTGTTAGCACAGGAGGAGAACAGTGCGACCGTCGCCCTCGTAGATCGGTCCCTTACAATGACTTATCAGGAGTCTCTATGCGGCCCTACCGGGCCACGTTGAACCTGTATACAGACGCCTCTCTAGTGGGCTGGGGCGCCCATCTAGAGGGGGAGGTGAGCTCGGGGCTGTGGTGCGTAGAAGAACTAGGTCTTCACATCAATTGTCTCGAGTTCAAGGCAGTGATAAACGCAGTCAATCACTGGAAGCATCGTCTCGTCGACGCCCGGCTCATGCTGGCGACCGACAACACGACGGTAGTGTCCTATGTGAACAAACTGGAGGGAACCCACAGTCACTCGCTACTCGATCTCACGTTCGAGATTTACGCTCTGGTGGACAGTGTCCCGTGCCAGGTACGCGCCTGTCACATCCCAGGTGTGCGGAATGTACTGGCCGAAGCTCTATCGAGGCCTCGGGATCCGAGCCCCACAGAGTGGATGCTCAACCCAGTAGTGTTTCAGTGGCTGTGCGAACGTTTGGGTCGTCTGATGGTCGACCTGTTCGCAACCGGGTTCAACAATCAACTACCGTTGTTTGTATCACCAGTCCCGGACCCGAGGGCCATCGATTACGATGCCCTCGCGTTAGTCTGGACGGGCATGGACGCTTATGCTTACCCACCGACGGCGTTGATACCACTCATTCTAAGCCGGCTCCGCGGAGTTCGCTGTCGAATATTATTGATCGCGCCCATGTGGCAGAACGGATCGTGGTATCCTGACTTGCTGACCCAGGTCATGCAGTCGCCACTCCCACTGCCTGTGAGACCGGATCTCCTGATCCACCCACACACCGTCAGCTTCATCCAAACGCAGGGCAGTTCAATCTGCACGCGTGGATGTTGTCACCGAGCGTCTGAGGAGTAAAGGTTTTTCTCGTCGGGTGTCTCGAGCATACGTTAGTATGCATGTGATTCTACCCAGAAGGTGTATAATGCACGTTGGGTTATTTTCACGAAGTGGTGTTGCAAACATCACATTCATTCGCCAGATAAGGTATCTGTGCAGGATATTGCTCGTTTCATGTCTTACTTACGAAAGACCCGGAAACTCTCTGGGGGTTCCATTGCCAACTATGTATCTTCCGTTGCTACGGTAGGGGACGTTGCTATGGGTACCAGTCTCTCATAAGAGCCGGTGATTCAGGGTATTATCAAGGGTTTCAAACAGCAAGATCTTCAGAAAGGCCGCCTTCGGGCACCGGCCTGGGATCTTTCCTTAGTGTTGAAATCACTTACGGAAGCTCCGTATGAACCCTTGAGTAGTGCTTCATTCCGGCATGTGACTTGGTAAACAGCATTTCTCCTCTCCTTTGACATGGGCCAAACGGAGAGAGAATTCACTGTAAGATCACTCAAGGAAATCTTACATCCTGCTGATACTGAGGACAGATCGCTGTGTCCGGTTAGGGCCCTTAAGTATTATCTTAAGGCTTCGAATGAACGCAGACAAGGGCGTGACCATCTGTTCATATCGTGTAACCCTAATCGCACTGTTGACATAACTCGCAACTCGATTGCGTTATGGCTTCGTTCTGTCGTCAATCTGGCGTACCGATCTCGGGGGTTACTGGTAGCGGGGTCAAACCCGCACGAGATCAGGGCGCTAGCGGCAACATTTGCCCTACACTCGAATATCTCTGTTCGCAGAATATTACGAGGTTGTTACTGGCGTTCTGACTTGGTTTCTGCCAATCATTACCTCAAACAGGTCGCTGATGACGACGTTGGGAGTGTGCACCATCTTGGGCCGCTGATCGCGGGGCCTAAGGGGTGTGCCCAGCGCAATTCCGAACTCCTCAGGCGTCAGACCTTGCATGGTGGTCAATCTGGGTCGACTCCAATGTTCCCACTGCCGTGGGTACAGGAGTTGGGGTCCCGCAAACCAGCGCACTCACACCACAGGTGAGGGCGGATTTTTGTGTGCTTTGTCCTTATTTGTATTTTCACAATTATGTATTTAATTGTCTGTCGTGTATCCCAACCTTGTGATGCATGCTTAGAAATACTGGAATTAGGTCACGCGCCTAATGCATACTTTCAGTAGGCTTGCTCTGGGATATACGGTCCGAATGAAATTAATTTCCCTCTTTTCGACTGTTTAACCTGATCTAGTATTTAGCTCACGCGGATACAGTGTTCTCATCCGCTGCGGCGATGAAATACCTATCCAGTGGGGCCGTTTGGAGTCACCAATCGTTTTGGCAATGACGATTGAGCCTTACGGTATGCGCTTGACAGTGCTTTGGTATTCCTATAGGGTAACGCCTAGCTAGGTGCATGCGCATCGAGTGCTTCCGCCTTGGTGTTTACTTCCGCTGGTCGGAAGGAACGCTAGCAGTCAGGATTCGGGTTGTAGGTGCTCCCCACCGCTTACTGTGGTAACGGTGGTATAACAGTGGTAACGTATTACTTAATGTAATTTGTAGAATTTTCCTATTCGGAATATTCTATAAGTAATACGTTACCACTGGGCTGCTGCCCGCCCGTCCGTCCCCCGAGCACTTGCTCTCGCAAGAGACAAGAGTGAAGGGTGTCACATGGCAGCTAGGTGGCTACGCACGTGCTGCATGAGGTAATTGAGATCTCTGTGGTAGATTTCGCTATAGCAGCAGTTGTGGGAGACAACAGCCTCGGTATAACAGTGGTAACGTATTACTTATAGAATATTCCGAATAGGAAAATTCTACAAGTTTCAGGAAAAGACTGATATTGATAGACTGCAGTGGTGTCAACTGTGTGCCGCAGACATGATGTCTGGGAGTATGTAAATACATGCTTCATCAATGTGCTGCTGTAAAGCTTTCAGTACTATGTTGTCTCCCTGTGTACCAGCAGTATGATCTTTTCTTTCAGTACTATGATCTAGCAGCTGATGTCTTGGCTGAGAACGCCCATCTCACGTACAAGTACCTCACTCCGGTAAGTCCTTCTTCCTTATACGAGCCGGGAACGTCTGTCTCATGTACATGTCTCATAGTGGCTAAGAGCACCCATATCACAAATATGTCTTGTAATGGCCAAGAATGTCCATCTCGCATACAATACCTCACCCGTAAACCAATCATATTGTGTAATGCACATGACATTTGTACGTATGTGCTTCTATGGTTTCACAGAAGCATAGTCCCATGTGTATTGTATGTGATGTGTAGTGCTGTCTGCTCCTTGTGTATCGTGTAGTGTAGACGAGTCATACGTAGTCTGTAATGAACCATGTTATTATTTAGCTTAAAGATTGTGGGTGCAATGTTAAGATTGAACTCCCTGACTTATTATTTGTCTGCTAGTACCTGTATGACTTCCTGGAGGCGGTCATCACACGGCAGACGTCTCCGGAGGAGGCGTATCGCAAGCTGGACGAGATGGCCTCCAAACAAACGGAAACACTTCGCAAACTAACTAAACAGGTAACAACAGGAATAAAGCCCGAAATCAGGAATCAGTTTCCTTTCTGTTAGAATAACACATACTTATCATGAACGTCAGAGGCTCAGTAGCGTGACATGTGTCGAAGGTCCTAGAGAATGAATGGTAAAGTTAGAGGCACAGTAACTTGACATGTGTCGAAGGTCCCGGAGAATGAATGGTAAAGTTAGAGGCACAGTAACTTGACATGTGTCGAAGGTCCCGGAGAATGAATGGCAAAGTTAGAGGCACAGTAACTTGACATATGTCGAAGGTCCCGGAGAATGAATGGTAAAGTTAGAGGCACAGTAACTTGACATGTGTCGAAGGTCCTAGAGAATGAGCGGCAAAGTTAGAGGCACAGTAACTTGACATGTGTCGAAGGTCCTAGAGAATGAATGCATGAGAACTGCCTTTGTGGCTGTATATATGTTTTCTCCTATGAAACTGCCAGACTGAGGAAGCTAAACCTTGGCATGCATGTTTCTCCTAATGATGACTAATTTTGTTCAAATTCTTTTTTAGGATTTTATTGTTTTTTTTAAAACAAATGGAAAAGTTATAAGAAATCTTTGTTATGTGTATGATGGCACTGAGTTGAATGTTGTGTTATGTAGGTGCAGGAAGCAAGACAGAATCACGACGACGATGCAGTCAAGCGAGCTGTTAATGAGTACGACGAGGCCCTGGAGAGGTGAGATAACTAAGTTTGTAGCTGATCTAATGGTTATCCTGATGGTGTGTGTGTGTTATGCTGATGGTGTGTGTGTGTGTTATCCTGATGGTGTGTGTATGTTATCTTGATGGCATGTGTTGTTATCCTGATGGTGTGTGTGTTATCCCGATGGTGTGTGTGTGTTATCCCGATGGGGTGTTTGTTATCTTGATCGTGTGTGTGTCATCCTGATGGTGTGTGTTATCCTGATGGTGTGTGTTATCCTGATGATGTGTGTGTGTTATCCTGATGATGTGTGTTATCCTGATGATGTGTGTTATCCTGATGATGTGTGTTATCCTGATGTGTGTGTGTTATCCTGATGATGTGTGTTATCGTGATGATGTGTGTTATCCTGATGATGTGTGTGTGTTATCCTGATGGTGTGTGTTATCCTGATGGTGTGTGTTATCCTGATGATGTGTGTTATCCTGATGATGTGTGTTATCCTAATGGTGTGTGTTATCCTGATGGTTTGTGTTATCCTGATGATGTGTGTTATCCTAATGGTGTGTGTTATCCTGATGGTTTGTGTTATCCTGATGGTGTGTGTTATCGTGATGATGTGTGTCTGTCATCCTGATGATGTGTGTGTGTTATCGTGATGGTGTGTGTTATCCTGATGATGTGTGTGTGTTATCCTGATGATGTGTGTTATCCTGATGATGTGTGTGTGTTATCCTGATGGTGTGTGTTATCCTGATGGTTTGTGTTATCCTGATGATGTGTGTTATCCTAATGGTGTGTGTTATCCTGATGGTTTGTGTTATCCTGATGGTGTGTGTTATCGTGATGATGTGTGTCTGTCATCCTGATGATGTGTGTGTGTTATCGTGATGGTGTGTGTTATCCTGATGATGTGTGTGTGTTATCGTGATGGTGTGTGTTATCCTGATGATGTGTGTGTGTTATCCTGATGGTGTGTGTTATCCTGATGATGTGTGTCTGTCATCCTGATGATGTGTGTTATCCTGATGATGTGTGTGTGTTATCCTGATGATGTGTGTTATCCTGATGGTGTGTGTTATCGTGATGGTGTGTGTTATCCTGATGATGTGTGTGTGTTATCCTGATGGTGTGTGTTATCCTGATGGTGTGTGTTATCCTGATGATGTGTGTTATCCTAATGGTGTGTGTTATCCTGATGGTTTGTGTTATCCTGATGATGTGTGTTATCCTGATGATGTGTGTTATCCTGATGATGTGTGTTATCCTGATGATGTGTGTTATCCTGATGATGTGTGTTATCCTGATGATGTGTGTTATCCTGATGGTGTGTGTTATCGTGATGATGTGTGTTATCCTGATGATGTGTGTGTGTTATCCTGATGGTGTGTGTTATCCTGATGGTGTGTGTTATCCTGATGATGTGTGTTATCCTAATGGTGTGTGTTATCCTGATGGTTTGTGTTATCCTGATGATGTGTGTTATCCTGATGATGTGTGTTATCCTGATGATGTGTGTTATCCTGATGATGGTGTGTGTGTTATCCTGATGGGGTGTTTGTTATCTTGATCGTGTGTGTGTCATCCTGATGGTGTGTGTCATCATGATGATGTGTGTTATCCTGATGGTGTGTGTTATCCTGATGATGTGTGTGTGTTATCCTGATGATGTGTGTTATCCTGATGATGTGTGTGTGTTATCCTGATGATGTGTGTTATCCTGATGATGTGTGTGTGTTATCCTGATGGTGTGTGTTATCCTGATGGTGTGTGTGTGTTATCCTGATGATGTGTGTTATCCTGATGATGTGTGTGTGTTATCCTGATGATGTGTGTGTGTTATCCTGATGATGTGTGTTATCCTGATGATGTGTGTGTGTTATCCTGATGATGTGTGTGTGTTATCCTGATGATGTGTGTGTGTTATCCTGATGGTGTGTGTGTGTTATCCTGATGATGTGTGTTATCCTGATGATGTGTGTTATCCTGATGATGTGTGTGTGTTATCCTGATGGTGTGTGTGTGTTATCCTGATGGTGTGTGTTATCCTGATGATGTGTGTTATCCTGATGATGTGTGTTATCCTGATGATGTGTGTTATCCTAATGGTTTGTGTTATCCTGATGATGTGTGTGTGTTATCCTGATGATGTGTGTGTGTTATCCTGACAGTGTGTTATCCTTATGATGTGTGTGTGTTATCCTGATGATACGTGTGTGTTATCCTGATGGTGTGTGTTATCCTGATGATGTGTGTGTGTTATCCTGATGGTGTGTGTTATCCTGATGATGTGTGTGTGTTATCCTGACAGTGTGTTATCCTTATGATGTGTGTGTGTTATCCTGATGATGTGTGTGTGTTATCCTGATGGTGTGTGTTATCCTGACAGTGTGTTATCCTGATGATGTGTGTGTGTTATCCTGACAGTGTGTTATCCTTATGATGTGTGTGTGTTATCCTGATGATACGTGTGTGTTATCCTGATGGTGTGTGTTATCCTGATGATGTGTGTGTGTTATCCTGACAGTGTGTTATCCTTATGATGTGTGTGTGTTATCCTGATGATACGTGTGTGTTATCCTGATGGTGTGTGTTATCCTGATGGTGTGTGTTATCCTGATGATGTGTGTGTGTTATCCTGACAGTGTGTTATCCTTATGATGTGTGTGTGTTATCCTGATGATGTGTGTGTGTTATCCTGATGGTGTGTGTTATCCTGATGATGTGTGTGTGTTATCCTGACAGTGTGTTATCCTTATGATGTGTGTGTGTTATCCTGATGATACGTGTGTGTTATCCTGATGATGTGTGTTATCCTGATGATGTGTGTGTGTTATCCTGATGATGTGTGTTATCCTGATGATGTGTGTGTGTTATCCTGATGATGTGTGTTATCCTGATGATGTGTGTGTGTTATCCTGATGGTGTGTGTTATCCTGATGGTGTGTGTGTGTTATCCTGATGATGTGTGTTATCCTGATGATGTGTGTGTGTTATCCTGATGATGTGTGTGTGTTATCCTGATGATGTGTGTTATCCTGATGATGTGTGTGTGTTATCCTGATGATGTGTGTGTGTTATCCTGATGATGTGTGTGTGTTATCCTGATGGTGTGTGTGTGTTATCCTGATGATGTGTGTTATCCTGATGATGTGTGTTATCCTGATGATGTGTGTGTGTTATCCTGATGGTGTGTGTGTGTTATCCTGATGGTGTGTGTTATCCTGATGATGTGTGTTATCCTGATGATGTGTGTTATCCTGATGATGTGTGTTATCCTAATGGTTTGTGTTATCCTGATGATGTGTGTGTGTTATCCTGATGATGTGTGTGTGTTATCCTGACAGTGTGTTATCCTTATGATGTGTGTGTGTTATCCTGATGATACGTGTGTGTTATCCTGATGGTGTGTGTTATCCTGATGATGTGTGTGTGTTATCCTGATGGTGTGTGTTATCCTGATGATGTGTGTGTGTTATCCTGACAGTGTGTTATCCTTATGATGTGTGTGTGTTATCCTGATGATGTGTGTGTGTTATCCTGATGGTGTGTGTTATCCTGACAGTGTGTTATCCTGATGATGTGTGTGTGTTATCCTGACAGTGTGTTATCCTTATGATGTGTGTGTGTTATCCTGATGATACGTGTGTGTTATCCTGATGGTGTGTGTTATCCTGATGATGTGTGTGTGTTATCCTGACAGTGTGTTATCCTTATGATGTGTGTGTGTTATCCTGATGATACGTGTGTGTTATCCTGATGGTGTGTGTTATCCTGATGGTGTGTGTTATCCTGATGATGTGTGTGTGTTATCCTGACAGTGTGTTATCCTGATGATGTGTGTGTGTTATCCTGATGATGTGTGTGTGTTATCCTGATGGTGTGTGTTATCCTGATGATGTGTGTGTGTTATCCTGACAGTGTGTTATCCTTATGATGTGTGTGTGTTATCCTGATGATACGTGTGTGTTATCCTGATGATGTGTGTTATCCTGATGATGTGTGTGTGTTATCCTGATGGTGTGTGTTATCCTGATGATGTGTGTCTGTCATCCTGATGATGTGTGTTATCCTGATGATGTGTGTGTGTCATCCTGATGGTGTGTGTTATCCTGATGATGTGTGTGTGTTATCCTGACAGTGTGTTATCCTTATGATGTGTGTGTGTTATCCTGATGATGTGTGTGTGTTATCCTGATGATGTGTGTTATCCTGATGATGTGTGTGTGTTATCCTGATGGTGTGTGTTATCCTGATGATGTGTGTGTGTTATCCTGATGATGTGTGTGTGTTATCCTGATGGTGTGTGTGTGTTATCCTGATGATGTGTGTTATCCTGATGGTGTGTGTTATCCTGATGATGTGTGTGTGTTATCCTGATGATACGTGTGTGTTATCCTGATGATGTGTGTTATCCTGATGATGTGTGTGTGTTATCCTGATGATGTGTGTGTGTTATCCTGATGATGTGTGTGTGTTATCCTGATGGTGTGTGTTATCCTGATGATGTGTGTCTGTCATCCTGATGATGTGTGTTATCCTGATGATGTGTGTGTGTCATCCTGATGATCTGTGTTATCCTGATGATGTGTGTTATCCTGATGGTGTGTGTTATCCTGATGATGTGTGTGTGTTATCCTGATGATGTGTGTGTGTTATCCTGATGATGTGTGTTATCCTGATGGTGTGTGTTATCCTGATGATGTGTGTGTGTTATCCTGATGATACGTGTTTGTTATCCTGATGATGTGTGTTATCCTGATGGTGTGTGTGTGTGTTATCGTGATGGTGTGTGTTATCCTGATGATACGTGTGTGTTATCCTGATGATGTGTGTCTGTCATCCTGATGATGTGTGTTATCCTGATGATGTGTGTGTGTCATCCTGATGATGTGTGTTATCCTGATGATGTGTGTTATCCTGATGATGTGTGTGTGTTATCCTGATGATGTGTGTGTGTTATCCTGATGATGTGTGTGTGTTATCCTGATGATGTGTGTGTGTTATCCTGATGATGTGTGTGTGTTATCCTG